TCTTGTGATTCCATATGAAGTTTAGAGTGGTTTTTTCCAGTTCTGTGAAGAAGGTCATTGGTAGCTTGATGGGGATGGTGTTGAATCTATAGATTACTTTGGGCAGTATGACCATTTTCATGATATTAATTCTTCCTAATCATGAGCATGGAATGTTTTTCCATCTTTTGTGTCCTCTGTTATTTTGTTGAGCAGTGGTTTGTAGTTCCCCTTGAAGAGGTCCTCTACATCCTTTGTTAGTTATATTCCTAGGTATTTTATTCTCTTTGTAGCTATTGTGAATGGGAGTTTTCTCTTGATTTGGATCTCAGTTTGTTTGTTATTGGTATATAGGAATGCTTATGATTTCTGCACATTGAATTTTGTATCCTGAGACTTTGCTGAAGTTGTTTATCAGTTTAAGAAGATTCTGGGCTTAGACAATGGGTTCTTTTAGATATACAATCATGTCATCTGCAAATAGAGACAGTTTCACTTCCTCCTTTCCTAATTGAATACTCTTTATTCCTTTTTCTTGCCTGATTGCTGTGGCTAGAACCAGAGCTAGAATCTCTAATACTATATTGAATAGGAGTGGTGAGAGAGGGCATCCTTGTCTAGTGCCTGATTTCAAAGGGAATTCATCCACCTTTTTCCCATTCAGTATGATATTAGCTGTAGGTTTGTCATATATAGCTTTTATCATTTTACGATACATTCCATCGATGCCTAGTTTATTGAGCGTTTTTAGCATGAAGGGCTGTTGAATTTTGTTGAAGGCCTTCTCTGCATCTATTGAGATAATCGTGGTTTTTGTCTTTGGTTCCATTTACGTGATGGATTACGTTTATGGATTAGCATATGTTGAAACAGCCTTGTATTCCCCGGGATGAAGTCTACTTGATCATGATGCAAAAGCTCCTGATGTGCTGTTGCAATCTGTTTGCCAGTATTTTATTGAAGATTTTTGCATTGATGTGCATCATGGATATTGGCCTGAAGTTTTCTTTTTTAGTTGAGTCTCTGCCTGGTTTTGGTATCAGGATGATGTTGGTCTCATAAAATGAGTTAGGGAGGATTTCCTCCTTTTGTATTGTTTGATACAGTTTTAGAAGGAATGGAACCAGCTCCTCTTTGTATGTCTGGTAGAATTCAGTCTGCCTTATTTTTTATAGATAGTGCTTACACCCCAAAATTCCTACAAGATAGGGTTTAGCAGACCCACTTCAGTATGAATAAATTGCAAATATCTAAAAGTTCATAGGCTTGTAATTGACACAGCTGGGACTAGATCTCTGGTCTGGATTCATCTAGAGCCCACATTTTTCCAGCCCTCTCAGCCTGAGCCAGACTTTGTGTCTTTTAATTCATTTTTCCTCTCACTGCCCTAACTGTTTATCAGAGCATTAAAAGGACACAGTAAACAAAGCACTTCTGTGGAATACACAGCATAATAATAATGCTGAATACATGAGTAGTATGAAGAAAAAATAATATTCAGTGACAATATGATTATCTTCATATGCAATATCAGATAACCTGTTAAGATCAGGAGCTCCCAAAATCATCCTGCTCTGCCCTTTCCCCATAGAAATTAAATCTACTCAAACCAAGATACCTAATATGCTAAGTCTGGTTGGTGAAACAAAGGAATAGATAGGTGTGTTTTTTTCACTGACAGCCCACTATCTGTGCTGGGCCTCCTGGCTTGTGGTACAGCTTCACTATTTCATACAAAACCTGGGACAGGGAGCCATTGTCTGCAAGGTTTGCAGTAGGGAACCTGTTCAATAATTTGCAGTTGTGTGACATTTCCCAGCAGTCAAAGAGAAAGGAAGATGAGAACCCCATCAATGAGGATTCTGGAGACCAATGCCTCAAAATATAGGGATCACTGAGAGAGTAGGCCCTGCCTACTCTCAGATCTAGAAGGCCCAAGCTATAGCTGTAAGCTAAAATTTCTCTATTCAAGTTTCTCAGGTACTTAAGAATCCTGGTCTAAGGGCGGTGTGCTCCGATTAGTGGGAAGAGGACATCAGACTTTGAAAACTCTCAAGATGAGGACTCTGAATGAAATATGAGGAACGATCCATCCAGAACAGTAGGGGCTCCTAAAACTTTATTTTTCTTTTTGCCTTGGCTGGCCATAGTCAGGGCTATCTGGTTGAGGTTCCCCCTCTTTTTCCCTAGGGCTTCTACTAGTACTTCAGGGAGATAAAGGCTTTGATCTCATGTCAGTAGCTCTGATTCTGCTCATGAAGGAGATCGTAACAAGCCTACATTGGATTTAAGGTGAGGACACTGAGGTAGCCAACAAGTAGCACCCTGACGTCCCTCTCTGGTTTCTCAGTAAAAGGCAAGCTTTGGCTTGAGGCTGACAGACTCAAATTAGTAGAGGAAGGACTTCCACATCCCCCAATCAATGTTAGAAACCTGAGTGAGAACTGAGAGAGCCACTGACTCCAAAACAGTGGAAAAGGATTCTGACCCTGCCGTTAATCCGCAGGAGATCCTCAATCACTGTAGTGAGATGTAGCTGTTCCTAACTTCCATTTGGGACATTCCAGGAAGATATGGCCTTGGTCTGAGCAGTGTGGCCTTAAGCACACAGCAGTGTGGAAGGTGGAGTTTCAGATTTGGTTAGGTAGGAGTCAAGTTAAAGACACTGAGGGAGGATAGAGACCACTCATCCCAGAACAGAGGGAATGCACAGTGTCCTGTCCCTATTGTCAGACCTACGAGGACCAGGGAAGAGCCATCAGGCTAAAGTGCTTGGTCTGAGGCTGGTCATCTCATCACAGAGAACGTTATCAGCTTGAGCCAGGAGTCAGGGCAAGGATGATGAGGAAGGAGCAGAACATGAAACATAACAATGGAGGCAGCATATCATCTCTCCCCTACTGTTAGTCCTGGGAGATTCAGGGAGAAATGTCAGGCAGGGCAAAAGCACCCCTCAATTCCTTCTCAGAGTGACAGAGAAATGAGGGCCTTATTCAGAGTGGGACAGTAACGGGTCAAGAAAGGGAGAAATTGTGGGCACTGTCATGAGTCAAAATGAAGAATCTGGGCGAGAACTGGTGAGGCCAACCATCATGAGGGCCCAAAGTGCCCGCCACAGCTTTCTGTCTTGGGAGAGTACAGGCAGGTATGGCCAAATAAGGCTGCCCTACTTTCACTCTACTAGGTCATGGAGAATTCTGGGCCTAGCTCTGAGGAAATACCCTCCGGTCAAAGAATAGAGGAGCTGT